CACTGCAGAAACCCCTGCTTCACAAAGATAGGATGTTGGAAATGGAAGCAGGCTCTTCAGTGCTTCTGTGGTAATCTCAGGATATTCTGCCCTGATTTAATCCAGAACGTGTGGAGATTGGAAGTTGTCTCAAACATACTTTTAAGGCCATGGTCATGTGTAATCTCAAGCAGCTGACCCTCTTCTAGCATGGACAAAGTCGATTCACCTGGCTTATTCACAAACGGGTCGTGGATCCATTCCTTCCTAGTTCAGGGGTCTCTTGTGGTTGAAAAGTAATTCCTAAACTCTTTTAGAAGCTGAGATGGGTGATCGTGCACCAGTTGGGAGAAAGAAGGCCCTGGCTCAGTCTCTTTCAAAACCTCTCTTAATGGCTCAAACGGGTCCAAAATCCCAAAGTTCCCGTGTTGACGTCCTAATTCCGGTTTGGCTTTGAAGGCAGCCACTTTCTCTGCTGACTTGTCACTGTTGTTATTCTCCCTTGAAGTGACAGGTTGAGTTTGTTGAGCAGGTTGAATATATCACACAAGTAAGCAAGTTTTTTTTTTTTTTTTTTTTTGAAAAGTTAAAAATTCCTTAATTTTTTATTCCTGGTACCACTACCACAATTTACAGGGCAATATACCTGATGTAATGAAAAGAAAAAGAAAAAGACAAAGCTACAACAGATAAAAGACCTCAGGAATGTACATCTAATTGACACTACATTGCATTAATCAATAGCTGCACTTTTTGCAAACTGTGGCTATGACAGTCCTGAACAGGTTTCCTGTTTAAGCTGCAGTAACTTTTCTGACTATGGATCATTGCTCCTTCTGTGGCAGATTTTTACAGTTCCTCTAATGCATTTGGGACGACTGTCTCAAAGTAACCTGCAGCTTTCCTGACAACTCCTCGCTCTCTCTCCTGCTAAGAACTGTAGCCCTTTTCTGCTGCTTTTAGAACCTTCTGCTACCATATCCACCATTTCCACCACCAGATCCATAACCACCACCATAGGGACTGCCCGAGTTTCTTCCACCAAAACTGCCCCCTTTCATGGGTCCATAATTTGATTGCTGTTGTCCACTATAATTTCCAAAATCATTATAGTTCCCACCACCACCATAGTTACCACCACCAAAATTTCCTCCTTCGTTGTAACCATCATATCCTCCACCACCGCCACCATATCCACCACCTTGGTTTCCATATCCTGGTCCACCACCACCATAGCCCCCTCTACTACTATAACCAGGACCACCGCCATAGTTGCCACCATCACCAAATCCATTATATCCACCATCACCTCCTCCATAACTACCTCTGCTGCCACCACCTCCACCACCATAACCTCCTCTTCCACCAAAGTTTCCACCACGGCCAAAATTACCTCCACCACCTCCAAAGTTTCCTCCGCGACCCATAAAATTGCCAGATCCACCTCCACGACCTCTCTGTGATCCAGCAGACTGCATCTCTTGTTTAGAAAGGGCCTTTTTCACTTCACAATTATGCCCATTAATAGTGTGGTATTTCTGAACAACAATTTTATCAACTGTATCATGATCATCGAAAGTTACAAAAGCAAATCCTCTCTTTTTTCCACTCTGCCTGTCTTCCATAACTTCTATGGTTTCAATCTTGCCATACTTTTCAAAGTAGTCTCTCAAATTATACTGTTCCGTATCTTCTTTAATACCACCAACAAAAATTTTCTTCACTGTTAGGTGGGCACCAGGCTTTACAGAATCCTCTCTAGAAACAGCTCTCTTTGGTTCCACTACACGCCCATCAACCTTGTGTGGTCGAGCACACATTGCTGCATCCACCTCTTCACAAGAATAAGTCACAAAACCAAAGCCCCTGAAACGTTTGGTTTGGGGATCTCTCATTACCACACAATCTGTAAGTGTGCCCCGTTTCTCAAAATGTTCTCTTAAACTATCATCTGTAGTTTCAAAGCTCAGACCACCAATAAACAGTTTTCTCAACTGCTCTGGTTCCTTTGGATCATGGCCCTCCTCCCCCCGGCGGCGACGGCGACGGCCGGAGTCGGGCTGGGGGCGACCGGGCGGTGGTTTTACCTCCATTTTGAGACCGGACTCGCCTCTTCCAACTCGAGTTCAATATGGGACCGAAGTAAGCAAGTTTTACAACGCATTCTGTGTCACTGAAAATGTGCTGCTGGTGGTGACTGTTTTTCTAAAAGAAATATTTGGGGCCGGGCACGGTGGCTCACGCCTGTAATCCCAGCACTTTGGGAGGCTGAGGCGGGTGGATCATGAGGTCAAGAGATCGAGACCATCCTGGTCAACACGGTGAAACCCTGTCTCTACTAAAAATACAAAAAGAAAAAAAAAAGAAATATTTGGATTGGCTCTCATAACTCAGAAACTCTGGCCAGTGATCTACCTTTAGAAAGCCGTCTCATTTTCATGTATAAGACTTCTGTGCTCTGCATCCATCTCCTCACAGAGCTGCATGAACAGATGAGTTAAAGGCATGCACTTTATGTAACTGATAATTTTAATCACATCCTGCAAAACATTGTTAAATTCAGGTGACATTTTTGGCTAGCCAGCATTTCTTTATGGATGACACAGTAGGTAAACTCACATTCAGATATGACCTTTTTTACCCAAGTAGTGAAACCAGAAAGCTGTCGTCATAACACCCGCTCTGTCTATGCATATACTGACACAAAATGACCAATTCAGTTTTCCTGATATGTAATTACTAAAAGACTTAAATAGTTCTGCAGCTGTGGCGTTGGTTAGCAAAAGCCCACATAACATATCCTCATGCACATCCTCCTGAAAATATATCACATAAAAACAAGCATTGTTGCCTTGTTGTCAACCCTGGTAGACTCATCAACCTGGATTGTTTACCACAGTGACTCATTAATCCTTGCTAACAATTGTGCATCAATATCCTCTGCTATTTCATCAATCTGTCTAGTATGGTGTTAGCCAAAAGAAAAACACATGCCACCTTTTGAACTGCAGCTTCTCTTAAAAGTTCACAACAAATGTCCTTAGCAGCAGGCGGGATCAACTCTTCACTAATACTAAAGGGCTTCTTAGCTTTACCAATGTGGTCAGCCACTAAGAATGGTGCTCTCAGTGCAGACACATTGAATGAAGTGGTGGCCTTCAATAATTGCTTCTGTTCTAAATGTTCACTTTTCTTTTGAAAAACTTCAAAGGCTTGTCTTTTTTTTTTTTTTTTTTTTTTTTTTTTGAGATGAGTCTCGCTCTGTCACCAGGCTGGAGTGCAATGGTGTGATCTCAGCTCACTGCAACCTCCGCCTCCTAGGTTCAAGTGATTCTCCTGCCTCAGCCTCTGGAGTAGCTGGAACTACAGGTAATTTCTGTATTTTTAGTAGAGACAAGGTTTCACCATGTTGGCCAGGATGGTCTCGATCTCTTGACCTTGTGATTTGCCCGCCTCGGCTTTCCAACGTGCTGGGATTACAGATGTGAGCCATTGCATCCGACCAGGCTTGTCTTTTAATGCAGGGTATTTGGTCTTCATGTGGCAAAGCAGTTTTTTTTTTTTTGAGACAAAGTCTCACTCTGTCACCCAGGCTGGAGTGCAGTGGCGGATCTCAGCTCAATGTAACCTCTGCCTCCTGGATCAAGTGATTCTCCTGTCTCAGCCTCCTGAGTATCTGGGATTACAGGCACACACCACCATGCCCAGCTAATTTTTTGTATTTTCAGTAGAGACTGGGTTTCACCATGTTGGCCAGCCTGGTCTTGAACTCCTTATCTCAAGTGATCTGCCTACCCTGGCCTTCCAAAGGGCTGGAATTACAGGCATCAGCCACCATGCTTGGCCACTAAGCAGTTTTGAAGGTCTCATGGCTTTGTTGGATAGTTCGTTGCTACATATTACACAAACTGGGCTTGGAGAATATGAATCACCTGTTGCAATCAACTGATAATTTAAATAGGACTTATTCTTTTTTAAATTCAGCTTTCTTTTCATTGGCAGTCTTAGAGTTTTCTGCTGTCTCGTCATTGGGTCTTTCCCTCTTTTCAGAGACGCTCTCCAGTGACATTTGTTTTTTACTCATTTTGGCTGGAGTTAGCTCATAGGCTTACCAAAACTGGGACTGAGACAAGTATGCAGTGTGGGGGAAGAGGCATAGATGGAAGTGGTAAATAAAACAATGGGCAGGCCATGCGTGGACCATAATAAGTGTCGGATTCTGACTTAAAGCCTGTCACCAGATGCAGCTGTACAATTGAAATACATCATCTCACCTGCCCTGTAAAACCTGCCACCAGATGCAGCTTAATTGTCATTTGCCGCTCACTGATAGGGTTTTGATATGAGCCTGCAAGCAATTGATGTGTACGGGCTCTGAGCAGTCAAACCTCTCTGCAAATGTTAATCTGTGTTTGCAACCACTCCCCAGTGCTAGCCTCACCACCTCAGCTCCACCTTAGATCAGCAGGCATTAGACTCTCACAAGAAGCTCGCAACCTAGATCCCTCACATGTGCAGTCCACAATAGAGTTACCGCTCCTATGAGAATCTGGATAGGAGGTGGAGCTTAGGTGGTGATGTTAGGTGCTGATCTGATAGGAGGTGGAGCTTAGGTGGTGATGTTAGGTGCTGATCTGATGGGAGGTGGAGCTTAGGTGGTGATGTTAGGTGCTGATCTGATAGGAGGTGGAGCTTAGGTGGTGATGTTAGGTGCTGATCTGATGGGAGGTGGAGCTTAGGTGGTGATGTTAGGTGCTGATCTGATGGGAGGTGGAGCTTAGGTGGTGATGTTAGGTGCTGATCTGATAGGAGGTGGAGCTTAGGTGGTGATGTTAGGTGCTGATCTGATGGGAGGTGGAGCTTAGGTGGTGATGTTAGGTGCTGATCTGATGGGAGGTGGAGCTTAGGTGGTGATGTTAGGTGCTGATCTGATGGGAGGTGGAGCTTAGGTGGTGATGTTAGGTGCTGATCTGATGGGAGGTGGAGCTTAGGTGGAGCAGACGGGCAATGTAAGCACAGACATGAAAGTCTTAGGAATGAGGTGTTCGCAGCCGCCGCCGCGCCGCTGTCAATTCTCCAACGCCCGTGCCGCCTCTCGCTCTCCGAGCTCCAGCCGAAGGTGAAGGGGGGTAAGTAAGGAGGTCTCTATACCGTGGCTCATACAAAGCAGACTGCCCGCAAATCTACCGGTGGTAAAGCACCCAGGAAGCAACTGGCTACAAAAGCTGCTCGCAAGAGTGCTCCCTCTACTGGAGGGGTGAAGAAACCTCATCGTTACAGTCCTGGTACTATGGCACCCCGTGAAATTAGACGTTATCAGAAGTCCACTGAACTTCTGATTCACAAACTTCCCTTCCAGCGTCTGGTGCAAGAAATTGCTCAGGACTTTAAAACAGATCTGCGCTTCCAGACCACAGCTATCAGTGCTTTGCAGGAGGCAAGCGAGGCCTATCTGGTTGGCCTTTTTGAAGACACCAACCTTTGTGTTATCCATGCCAAACGTGTAACAATTATGCCAAAAGACATCCAGCTAGCAGGCCTCCTACGTGGAGAGCGTGCTTAAGAATCCACTATGATGGGAAACATTTCATTCCAAAAAAAAAAAAAAATTATCTTCTCCTGTTATTGGTAGTTCTGAACGTTAGATAATTTTTTTCCCATGGGGTCAAAAGGTACATAAGTATATGATTGCGAGTGGAAAAACAGGGGACAGAAATCAGGTATTGGCAGTTTTTCCATTTTCATTTGTGTGAATTTTTAATATAAATGTGGAGACGTAAAGCACTGATGCAAGTTAAAATGTTTCAGTGAACAAGTTTCAGCGGTTCAACTTTATAATAATTATAAATAAACCTGTTAAATTTTTCTGGACAATGCCAGCATTTGGATTTTTTTAAAACAAGTAAATTTCTTATTGACGGCAACTAAATGGTGTTTGTAGCATTTTCACCATACAGTAGATTCCATCCGCTCACTGTACTTTTCTGAGTTGTCCTACATGCACGTACATGTTTTTAATGTTGTCTGTCTGTGCTGTTCCTGTACGTTTGCTATTAAAATACATTAAACTAAAGAAAAGAAAAGAAAGTCTTAGGAATGAAAAGAAATGCTAGAAATGAAAAATGCCTTTGATGGACTTAGCAGTGAACTTGGCATGGCTAAGGAAAATGTCTCTAAGCTGGAGGTTATCTCAATAGAAACTTCCAAAACTGAAAAAAATAAAGACGAATGAGAATACCAGAAGAAAAGAAACAGAATAGGCCTTGTGTGGTGACTCACGCCTGTAACCCCAGCACTTTGAGAGGCCCAGGCGGGTGGATCACAAGGTCAGGAGATCAAGACCATCCTGGCCAACATGGTGAAACCCCGTCTCTACTAAAATACTATATATATGTGAAACCTAACCCCAGCTCTGCTTAAAATTAACTAATTCCCCTGTAAAACCTACCTTATCTATTCTCCCCACATTCTAAGCAAATTTCCCAGGCATTTCAAGACTCCCGTTTTCCTTGCTGCCTGGCTGCAAGGTCACAGGGCAGATAACACCTGAAGAATGTACAGTGCGTTTCTCAAAATGCTAGTTTTCAAATGTAGTGTACATTACAAAACATGTTACAAATTAACTGTTCTTTGTTCTGGCTTCTGTTTTTTTTTTTTTTTTTTTTCTTGAGACAGAGTTTCGCTCAGCCTGGGTAATACCCAGTATGGAGTGCAATGGCGCGATCTCGGCTCACTGCAACCTCTGCCTCCTGGGTTCAGGCAATTCTCCTGCCTCAGCCTCCCGAGTAGCTGGGACTACAGACACGCGCCACCATGCCCAGCTAATTTTTTGTATTTTTAGTAGAGACGGTGTTTCACCATGTTGACCAGGATGGTCTCGATCTGTTGACCTCGTGATCCACCCGCCTCGGCCTCCCAAAGTGCTGGGATTATAGGCGTGAGCCACCGCGCCCGGCCTCTGGCTTCTGTTAACCTGCTAGCTGCTACATCATCCTGGATGTATAAAAAGTACCCCGGTTTCTTTCTACTTTGCGCAGCCTTGGGACCCTAATCTGCTGAGCTGGTGCCACTTTAATAAAATCCTCCTGTCTCACCCACTGGTCTCTCCAGTCTCCTGAATATTCTGCAGCACTTCAGCACAATATTGAATTCAAAAGTCATAGCAGTTATCATTGTCTTCTACTTGATTTCTAAAGATTCACCGTAAAGTATTGTGGTTATTTTGTAGGTATCCTCTGCAAGTACTAGGATCTCTCTTATTCCAACTTGGCTGAGAAGTTGTAAAATTTTTAATGAATACTGAATTTTAGCAAATGATTTTTCTGTATTTGTTGAAATAATCATAATTTTTCTCCTTCACTTAATAATGCAAATTCCTTAATAGATTTGTCTCTTGTTACACAATCGTTAAGTTCCTGGGATGTATTCAACTCAGTCATGATTTAAAATACATTGCAGGATTTCATTCCCTGATATTTTATTTAGGATTTTGGAATCCAAGGTTATAAACGGAATTGTTTGATAATTTGCAACTCTCAATATTTTATTTTATTGGTTTCAAGATATCCTACCCTCATAAAATAAGCTAGATAATTTGCCATCTTTTTCTGTTCCCTAAAGCAGTTTGCACGAAAGAAGGATTATCTATCTATTTCTTGAAAGTTTGGTAGAAATTCCTGGAAAGAGTATGTTGTGTAGTGTTTTGTAGGTAGACTTCTTTGTAGGTAGACTTCATTACTGATGCAATGATTTTTTTTTTTCTTTTTTTTTGAGACAGAGTCCTACTCTGTCTCCCAGGCTAGAGTGCAATGGTGCAATCTTGGCTCACTGCAACCTCTGCCTCCCAGGTTCAAGCGATTCTCCTGCCTCAGCCTCCTGAGTAGCTGGGATTACAGGTTCCCACCACCATGCCCAGCTAATTTTTGTATTTTCAGTAGAGAAAAAGATTTCACCATGTTGGCCAGGCTGGTCTCAAACTCCTTACTTCAAGTGATTCACTTGCCTCAGCCTCCCAAAGTGCTGGGATTACAGGCGTGAGCCACTGCACCCCGGTCTGATGCAATTTATCTAAAGTTTTTCAGTCTATTCAGTCTTTCCATTTCTTGATTTAATTTGGTAAGTTCAGTTTTTCTAGGAAATTGTTCATTTTGTCTGAGTTTCATTGGTATAAAATTTTTTCATAATTTTAGTTTTTTATTTTATTTTATCTTATTTTAAAAACTTATTGTAGAGACAGGGTCTCACTATGTTGCCCAGGCTGGTCTTGAACTCCTGGCCTCATGCTATGCTCCCACCTTGGCCTCTCAAAGTGCTGGGAATACAGGAGTGAGCCGCCATATTTGGCCAATTAATGATTTTTTAAAATGCTTACATTGGCCAGGCTTGGTGGCTCACACCTGTAATCCCAGCACTTTGGGAGACCAAAGTGAGCAGATCATGAGGTTAAGAGATCGAGATCATCCTGGCCAACATGGTAAAATCCCATCTCTACTAAAAATACAAAAATTAACTGGGCATGGTTGTGCGCACCTGTAGTCCCAGCTACTGGGGAGGCTGAGGCAGGAGAATCACTTGAACCGGGAAGGTGGAGGTTGCAGTGAGCCGAGATTGTGGCCACTGCACTCCAGCCTGCAACAGAGTGAGACTCCGTCTCAAAAAGAAAAAAAAATTCTTACCTTATCTAAAAATATTGTAACTGGTAACCGCAGAAACTTGAACTTTGTCAGTAACAAAATGTAGCAAAATAATGAGTTGTTTTTCAGTTGCAACAGACTCTCAGGTTGCAAGTTGCATAACCTCAGCATTTGCAGATGAACGAAGTGTTCCCATGTCCTTAACCCTGGAACCAGCCTGAATGAGAAAGCCAACAACATGCAGAACCCAGGTGTTCCAATGGAAGACCAGGGATGAGATTACAAAGTGAGGGGCACCTGGTTTTGCTGAAGAATAAACTTAAAAGCCAGGGACCCAACATCATTTCTCATGACCCAATCAAATCAGACCTTGTTACATTTTCCTATCTCCCTCATAGTTACTCTCTGCATGTAAAACCTGCCCACAGATCCCAGCTTGGGCAGACAGATTTGAGCATTGCCTCCTGGGTCCTTGCAAAAAGCTTTTCCTTTTCTCAAAAGCCAATATCACAGTATTGGCTTCAATGTGCATTGAGCAGTGAGCCCATTGCTCAATTTGTCATTTTGATTTTTTCCTTTTTGAGACAGGGTCTCACTCTGTCACCCAGGCTGGAGTGCAGTGGCGTCACCTCAGCTCACTGCAGCCTTTACCTCCCGGGCTCAAGCAATCCTCCCAACTTAGTCTCCTGAATAGGTGAGACTACAGGCATGCACCATCATGCCTGGCCATTTTTTGTAGTGACAGGGTTTTGCCATGTTGTCCAGGCTGATCTCAAATTCCTGGGTTCAAGCAAGAAATCCATCCACCTTAGCCTTCCAAAGTCCCAGGACTACAGACATGAACCACTGCAAAAGCTCATTTTGATTTTTAGTGTTGATTAATCTGCTCAGCAGTATATCTGTTTCATTAATCTTCCCAAAGCAATAGCCTTTTCTTTTGTTGCTCCTACGTAATCAATTTTTTCCTTTTATTTTCATTATTAAATATCTTTCTGTTATTAAATATCTTTCCTCTGTTGTTTGCTTTTTTAGCTCAGTGATTTATAATAATATTGCATTTCAGCCAAATATGTGGTAAGTCACCAATAATTTAGTATTTGTTTGGACTTGCTTTACGGCCTTGCATGTATTGAAATTTTGCCTCCTACAAAAAAAAAGGAAACCAAGGAAATATAAGAGGGAAACATTCAAGTTATAGTGCTGAAATAGTCTACTTCTGTTTCATGTTTTAGTTGGTAAGAAATTATAGAAAAGATGAATAATGGCCATCAGGCCGGGCACCGTGGCGCACGCCTGTAATCCCAGCACTTTGGGAGGCCGAGGCAGGTGGATCACGAGGTCAAGAGATCGAGACCATCCTGGTCAACAAGGTAAAACCCCGTCTCTACTAAAAATACAAACATTAGCTGGGCATGGTGGTGCGTGTCTGTAATCCCAGCTACTCGGGAGGCTGAGGCAGGAGAATTGCCTGAACCCAGGAGGCGGAGGTTGCAGTGAGCCGAGATCGCGCCATTGCACTCCAGCCTGGGTAACACGAGCCAAACACTGTCTCAAAATGAATAAATAAATAAAGGCCATTATTGCTTTGCTCTTGATTTTAGACACACTATAATGTTTCTCCTTTGTGATACATGCCTATTCCTTTCAAACAGCCGCTTTTTATTACACTGAGGACTCATTCTTTTGTTGTCACTTTTTTAGCGTTATTAGTGATGGGTGTGGAATTTTTTTCATTCACCTTGGCCATGTATTGAAATAATAGTTTTTTCCTCACTTGATGTATTGATGTGATTAAATAACTTTTTTTTTTTTTTTTGAGACGGAGTTTCGCTCGTTACCCAGGCTGGAGTGCAATGACGCGTTCTCGGCTCACCACAACCTCCGCCTCCTGAGTTCAGGCAATTCTCCTGCCTCAGCCTCCTGAGTAGCTGGGATTACAGGCAAGTGCCACCATGCCCAGCTAATTTTTTGTATTTTTTTAAATTGCATTTTAGGTTTTGGGGTACATGTGCAGAACGTGCAAGATAGTTGCATAGGTACACACATGGCAGTGCGTTTTGCTGCCTTCCTCCCCTTCACCCACATTTGGCATTTCTCCCCAGGCTATTCCTCCCCAGCTCCCCGCCCGCCACTGTCCCTCCCCTATTCCCCCCAATAGACCCCAGTGTGTAGTACTCCCTTCCCTGTGTCCATGTGTTCTCATTTTTCATCACCCGCCTATGAGTGAGAATATGCGGTATTTCATTTTCGGTTCTTGTGTCAGTTTGCTGAGAATGATGTTCTCTAGATTCATCCATGTCCCTACAAACGACACAAACTCATCATTTTTGGTTGCTGCATAATATTTCATGGTGTATATGTGCCACATTTTCCCAGTCCAGTCTATCATTGATGGGCATTTGGGTTGGTTCCAGGTCTTTGCTATTGTAAACAGTGCTGCAATGAACATTCGTGTGCATGTGTCCTTATAGTAGAACGATTTAGCAGTGAGGATTCGGGCATCACCCCGAACCGTTATTTTCATTACTCATAAGTTTAAGGCATAATTTTTTGTATTTTTTTTTAGTAGAGACAGGGTTTCACCGTGTTGACCAGGATGGTCTTGATCTCTTGACCTCGTGATCCACCCTGTTTGGCCTCCCAAAGTGCTGGGATTACAGGCTTGAGCCACCGCGCCTGGCCCTAACAATTTCTTAATAATTCAATTGTTGGGATAAATTAATCTGATAGCATTAAATTTTCTTCATTAATATTTTATTTTCTTAAGTGAGATTAGCATGCAGTTGTCTTTTCTATGCTATCTTGGTTTTGATAATAGCGTTATGAGTGCTTCTTGGAATCAACTGGGTAGTTTGTCACCTTTTTCTTTTCTTTTTTTGAGACAGGGTCTCATGCCTGGAGTGAGGCAGTGGCACGAACACAGCTCACTGCAGCCTTGACTTCCCAGGCTCTAGCAATCCTCCCACCTCAGCCTCCCAGCTAGCTGGGACTACAGGAGCACACCACCAAACCTGACTAATTTTTAACTTTTTGTAGAGATGGGGTCTCACCAAGTTGCCCAGGCTAGTCTAGAACTCCTGGGCTCAGGCAATCTGCCCACTTTGACCTCCCAAAGTACTGAGATTATAGGTGTGAGCCACCAAGAGTACGCTGCCACTATTTTCTACTTTTGAAAACAATTTATTTACTATGGGAATGATCTATTCCTTGAAAGTTTTAAAGATTTCGAGCTCGGAGCCTTATTCAAGGGTAACTTCCTTGACTTTCTGAATTTCTTCCTCAGTTATCTTTATCCTATTTTTTCTGGGGGGGGGTGCCGTGGCTCACGCCTATAATCCCAGCACTTTGGGAGGCCGAGGCAGGTGAGTCACGAGGTCAGGAGATTGAGACCATCCGGGCAAACACAGTGAAAACCTGTCTCTACTAAAAACACAAAAAATTAGCTGGGCGTGATGACCCACACCTGTAGTCCCAACTACTTGAGAGGCTGAGGCAGGAGTTGCTTGAACCCGAGAGGCGGAGGTTGCAGTGAGTGGAGATCGTGCCACTCCACTGCAGCCCGGGAGAGTGGGAGGCTGCCTCAAAAAACCCAAAAGATTAGCTGGGTGTGGTGCTGCACACCTGTAATCCCAACTACTTGGGAGGCTGAAGTGGGAGGCTCCCTTTAGCCTGGGAAGTCAAGGCGGCAGTGAGCTAGGTTCGTGCCACTGCACTCCAGCCTGGGTAATATTTTTTTAATATTAAGAAAAAAAAAATTTTTTTCTTTTTTAGTATTTTTTCATTTCAATTTTTGTAGGGCTTAAACACTTTTTTTTCAGTTGAGGGAGTAATTTTTTACATGTATTATTTTCAATAATGGATATACTAAAATCTGTGAATTTGCTTTTCAGCCCAGCTTTGGCATGGTGGATAAAGTTGTACATCTTCCCTTTTCGTTGTCACCAGGTGTACAGTAAAGGAACAGGCAGCATGGTGCCAGCCAGGTAGAAACCATCCGCATAATAAAAGATTAGGGCGGGGCAGCCAGCTTCTTGCACACTATGCAAATGGCATACCTGGTCCGATCAATCTTTCATGCCCTTTGTAAATCAGACAGCACCTCCTCAAGCTCATCTATAAAACCTTCTGCATTTCACTGCGGAAGCAGCAACCCATTTTCCCCAGGACCCCGCTCTGCACAGAGAGCTTTCTTTTGCCGTTAGCCTTCCACATCCTAGTTTTCTGTGGCCGTGAGACAACAAATCTCGGTTATTTACCCCAGACAATGATGCCGCTTCACTGACACAGTGTATATATTAGCAGCATCGTTTTCATCTAATCAAGGTAGCACATTCACATTAGTGAATGGAAAACTTTTTTTTAAAGATAATCTCACTCTGTCACCTAAGCTGGAGTGCAGTGGAGCAATTC